GACACAAATGGAAACACATCCCATGCTCTAGCATCCCGTGTGAAATTTCAACATTGTGAAAATGACCATACTGCCAAAAGCAATCTACAAATTCCATGCAATTCCTATCAAAATACCACCATCATTTTTCACAGAACTAGAAAAAACAATCCTAAAATTCATATGGAACCAAAAAGAGCCCACATACCAAAGCAAGACTCAGCAAAAAGAATAAATGTGGAGGCATCACATTACCTGACTTCAAGCCATACTGTTAATATAAGGTCATAGTCATCAAAACAGCATGGTACTGGTACAAAAGTCAATAGACCAATAGAACGGAATAGAAAACCCAGGTATAAAGTCAAATAGTTACTGCCAACTGATCTTTGACAAAGTAAACAAAAATATAAAGTGGGGGAAATGATGTCCTATTCAACAAATGGTGCTGGGATAATTGGCAAGCCACATGTAGAAGAAGGAAACTGGATCCTCACCTCCCACCTTATACAAAAAATCAGCTCAAGATGGATGAAGACTTAAATCTAAGACCCAAAACTGTAAAAATTCTAGAAGATAACATCAGAAAAATCCTTCCAGACACTGACTTAAGCAAAGGCCTCATGACCAGTAACTCTAAAACAAATGCAACAGAAGCAAAAAGATAAATAGATGGGACTTAATTAAACCAAAAAGCTTCTGCACAGCAGAAGAAACAATCCAGAGAGTAAACACACAACCTACAGAATGGCAGAAAATCTTTGCAACCTGTACATCTAACAAAGGACTAATATCCAGAATCTGCAAGGAACTCAAACAAATGATCATGAATAAACCGAATAGTCCTATCAAAAAGTGGGCCAAGGACCTGAATAGAAAATTCTCAAAAGAAGATAAACAAGTGGCCACAAAACATATGAAAAAATGCTCAGCATCACTAATGATCAGGGAAATGCAAATCAAAACCACAGTACAATACCACCTTGCTCCCGCAAGAATGGCCAAAATAAAAAAATATTTAAAAAGTAGATGTTGGTGGGGATGCGTTGAAAAGGGAACACTTTTACACTGCTGGTGGGAATGTAAACTAGTACAACCACTATGGAAAACAGTGTGGAGAATTCTTCAAGAACTAAAAGTAGAACTACCATTTGATCCAGCAATCCCACTACTGGGTCTCTACCCAGAGGAAAATAAATCATTATTTTAAAAAGATTCTTGCACATGCGTTTATGGCAGCACAATTTGCAATTGCAAAAATATAAAACTAGCTCAAATGTCCATCAATCAACGAGTGGATAAAGAAATTGGGGTGTATATGTATACCATGGAATACTACTCAGCCATGAAAAGGAACAAACTATTGGCGTTCACAGCAACCTGGATAAAACTGGAGACCATTATTCTAAGTGAAGTAACTTAGGAATGGAAAACCAAACATTGTATGTTATCATTCATAAATGGGATCTAAGCTATGAGGATGCAAAAGCATAATAATGATATAATGGACTTATGCAAAGGCATAAGAATGACACAATGGTTGTTTTTTTTTTTTTTTTTTTGTATGTCAATGATATAACTAATGTTTGGATTATGCATTACAAGATTTTCTTGAGAACAAAGGCCAGCTCAGCTGGTGAACACTGTCACACTCATAATGACAGCCTGGCCACACTCTGCATCTGTTCCCCAGAATGTTCCTTTACTTGTTCTACTGACTGAACTTTTCAACCCAGCTGAAAATCCATTTTTGTTTCATTTTCTCTTCTAGCCACAAAACTATTAATAGATTCAAATGAAATCCATAGCCTGGACATATCTCACCACTCAGTCAACTGATAATTCCTGAGAAATACTCTCTGGTTTGAATTCCAGGAAGAAGTTAGAGGAAGAGGTGTTTCTCTCTCAGAGAAGGAGCTATCGAGCATCTGCTCTAAGCCAGACACTTTGTAGTAAACACAAAGCTGCTCTCAGTGAACTGGCAGACGATGAGAAGTGGCGACGCCGTGGCTGTTCTATGAGAGTAGAGGCATGGGATTGTCCCGTCAGTCACGTGAAGGGTGTGATGGAGAGAGAAAGGCCAGGAATCACACTGATGTTTCTGTATAAAAGAAGAAAAGGGAGGGAGGGAAGGAGAGAGGGAATAAATGTGGATCTCCTTAAAAGGAAACACCGGGTTATCAATACCTGGCATAAAACCGTGGCATTGAAATGTATGCATTCAGTGAACATTTATTGAGCACTTACCTCGTGACAGGCAATTTATGAAGTGCTGGGATGTTCCAGGATAGAGAGGAGGCTGAGCAAACCCACCTTGCTGTATAGAGTGGTCGAACCTTGCTGGAGGAATGAGAAAAACAGAACACAAAATAGTTACAAAGAGCTCTCTGTAACAAGAAGGATGGTTGTTGGGTTCCAAACTGTGATTAAATTTTTAAAAAAAATTTTTTACTGTATTATGACCTTTATTTTTAAAATGTTTATACAAGTCATTTAAGTAATATAATACCTTCTTGTGTGTAAAATTCAGACATTACAGATTTATACCTTGACCTCATTTCTTCCAAACCCAGTGTCCCCCCTACAAGGAATGCCTTCTTTTGACATTTTCTAGCACATTTATGAGTGTTTGTGTGTACCTATGAGATCAATTTTATTTTTTTGTCTTTAAAATAATTGGTCTCATATTATGCATGTTTTCTTCATGCCTTTTCATACTACAGCATTTCTTGAAGATATAGCCATGCCAGTACTGATAATTTTGTTTTTCTTTTCTATATAGTCTATACACTGGCTACTTGATTAAAAACTGTATTGCAAAAAATTTCAAATGTATGCAAAAGTAGAGAACCGTCATCCCTAGATTATTTTAAAGCAAATCCCAGCTATTATATAATTTCATACACAAAACCTAAAGTTTTTCAGGGGAACAGTGTGTGCTGGGAAAGATGCAGTTGAAAAGAAAGACTGAAAGCAAGTCATAGGGCATAATGGATTTCTGAAGAAATAGTTGTAACCAGCTTTACCCATGTCCCTACAAAGGACATGAAGTCATCATTTTTTATGGCTGCATAGTATTCCATGGTGTATATATGCCACATTTTCTTAATCCACCAACATGCACATGTGTACATGTGTAACAAACCTGCATGTTGTGCACATGTACCCTAGAACTTAAAGTGTAATACAAAAAAATTAAAAAATAGTTGTAACCAGCAGAAGTATGGGCTATTGTGCAGAGGATTTGGAAGTCAAAGAAGATCAATCTCTGTGGATCACTGACAGGATTGCTGGAATGCCTGAGAAGGAAATAACATCAACATCTTTATGCACAACTTACTAGGTGGCCAGATGCCCTGAACTGATATTTCTTCCCCAGTTCAGATGAATAAGTGGGATATTACTCAAAATTCTGTTGCATATCTGTTTCAAGGAAAAGCAGTTCCTCTTTCCCTTCTGTGGTAATTTCTTATCAGCCACAGTTCTGGGCAGGGTGTGAGGGTGGTTACCTAGAATGGGGTTTCCAAATCTCCTCAATTGTGACCTTTGACTCTTTTCATTGCTTCCACGTCCATACCTAGAGTCAAAATCCAAGGAATGCAGTGGGATGACGTTACGAATTCATCTTAAGGAAATACCTTATATGCCAACACAACTGTGTGATTGTGCTGATTTATATGAATGGAAACTTGGGGTGTATGCTTGGAAATGAATTGTCAGGGTTCTAGACCAGGGAAAGTGGAATTTATTGTCGGGTCAAGCACGACCAATATTAATGTTAATGCATCCTCATAGCTTAGCTCCCACTTATGAGTGAGAACTCTCACCTTTCTCCAAGAATCTGCAGGAGAACAAGAGCTTCTGAGATTTTGATTCACATGAAAAGAAATAGAGAAACAAGAGGGTATACCTAAAACCCAGGTGTCTGAGAGACAGAGGGCGGGTGGCCCTCACCTGGGGGGATGGGTAAAGAAGACACAAGTGTTTTCTCTACTTCTGTCCCTAGGTCCTGCTAAGGATCAAGGTCTATGCTCTCCCAGAACCTCTGGAGAAGAAAGCGGAGGATTTTCTTTCAAGGCCTAGTGCCTTGCCCCCAGGATCTCCAGCTTTTTACCATTGCACAGGCTAGGAAAATGCACACCTTCCTGGTAGATTCTGCACAGTGGAGAAAAGGCTTCATGAGAAGCATGGAGGCTGGAATTCATACCCCTCAGCCTCACTCCATCATCTTTATCTGTGCATTTCCCTGGTGACCCCTTCCTCCCCCAGTACCTCCCTCATTGTCATTTCTGCTGCATCACAGACACAGGCCTCCAAACGGGTGTGGTTGTGACTGAGTCTGTTTCTAACACCCCACCCCTTCTCACTCTGTGGGGAAACCTTCCTGGGAGGGGCTTGGAATCAGGAATAAATGCCAGAGGGCAGGGGTGACAGGGACCCTTTAAATTCTGCAACTCAGAGATTCACACAGAAGCCTGGACACAATTCAGAAGAGCAGCCCAGATGGAGGCAACAATGTCACCGTTACCCGTGAGTTGAAAAGGCGTAGCCTTCCATAATCTCAAGTTACATAAAGAAGAGAAAGAGGGAGATTTTATGAGATGAAAATATCAGCATTTCCAGTGAATGCTTTACTGAGAGTTGTGAGGGTACCGAAGAGAGACCCCGGGGAAATGGTATCTGAGATGGCTGTAGGGTGTGGTGTGTGGAGCCTGGGTTAGCATAACCTTCTGTGCGTGTGTGATAGTGTCTGATAGGGTGAACTCTGCACAAATGATGTGACTTTAAGTAGGAGGTGGATGGGTCTGTGAATATAAGGGGATAACTGTGCTTTGTTTTCATGACTGTGATGTGAGTGTGTGTGTGAGCCCTGCCAGACCAGTGCATGGGCATCTTTATATGCATGGTGAGCAGTGATGCATGACTCAGTGAGCGGCATGGCTCTGTGTGACTGTGGGTGTGTGTGCTGGGATGTGACTGGGTATTAAACTGGGAACATGCATTGGCCTTTCATTCATGTGAAGGTTCCTCCCCACACAGAATGCCTCTGATGAAGCAGCTGTGCACCTTCCCATGTGTGTTAATGTGGATCTCAGGTGGCAGAGCTGTTGGGGATCTTGGGAACCATGACTTATTGAGGACTCGTCTCTGAGCATGCATAAGAGCAGAATGCATGAATCCTCAGGCGCCTCTTCCCAAGCAGAGTGGGAAAGAGAAGCAGGCTATGGGGCCCATGGTTCCTCAAGTGGGGTCTGCACAGTGACCACTGGCTCCTGCTCCCAGGCTCAACTTCCCTGTCTCCACCTCCTGCTGTTCCTCCCATTGTGTGCCAGGACGATGAGCAGATCCTGATTCGCTAGGGAAGGACATTGAGAGACTTGGGTTCAAAGATAGAATCACCCAAAACAAGAAAGTAACATGTTTGACTTCAGTCCAGGCAGAGCTTCCAATGGACATTCATCAAGTTTGCTAAGACCTGTAATCACAGCACTTTGGGAGGCCAAGAGGGGAGGATCACTTGAGGCTGGGAGTTGGAGACCAGTCGGGGAAACACAGCGAGATTCCATCTTTCCAAAATTAAAAAATTTGCCAGGCATGGTGGTGCATGTCTGTAGTCATAGGTGTCTGGGGGCTGGTTGATGTGAGAGGATCACTGAGGCCCAGGCGTTCAAGGCTGCAGGGAGCTGTGATGGTGCCGTTGCATTCCGGCCTGGACGACAGTGTGAGACCCTGTCTCAAAAAGGAAAAACGTCATTCACTTATCGATTCCTTCCAATTGCTTCCCCAACTCACACTTTTCATGTGTGCAAGTACTGAGGCCGTGCTCTCAGCAATGTGTGCCCCTTCTGGGAAGGACATCCATTGCCCTTGATGGTTGTGATGCATGTGCCTCCCACACAGAGGGGTTTCCTGTTCTTTTATCATTTCTCTCTCTCTTTCAACGAGTGTTGTTTCTCATGGAGTGACTCTCTGCTGTTACATCCTCCAGTCTTGTTTTCAGTTTCAGAGTTGAAACTGATCACAGGTCAGTGTTCCATAAGGACCCTCCCCATTCTGCCAGGTCATAACCAACAAGCCCTATACATACCAGGGATTAGGCTAAAGATTTTACATGTATTAATTCCTGAATTACTGAAAACACCCTGCAAAGTAGGAGATTTTGATAATCCCCCTTGTACTCTGGACACTGAGGTAGGGAGCATTTAAGTAATGAATCTAAGGTTACATTGCTGGCTGGGTAGAGTGGCTACCCCTGTAATCCAGCAGTTTGGGAGGCTGAGGCAGGAGGATCCCTTGAGCCCAGGTGATCCAGACCAGCCTGAACAACATCATGAAACCCCGACTCTCCAAAAACGTAAAAAATTAGCCGGATGTATGGTGTGCACCTGTAGCCCCAGCTACTCAGGGGCCTGAGGTGAGAAGATCCCTTGAGCCTGAGGAATTGAAGCTGCAGTGAGCCCTGATCACCCCACTGTACTCCAGCCTGGGAGGTAAAATGAGACCCTGTCTCAACAAACAAACAAACAAAAAGTTTTAAAAAAAGTTAACTTCCCACTGCTAATAAGAGGCAGAATCAAGGATGGAATCAAGGCAGCCCAGTTTCTGAAACTCTGCTTTTTTTTTCTCTCTCTCTCTGTTGGCCAGTCTGGAGTGCAGTGGCATGATCTCGGCTCACTGCAACCTCCACCTCCCAGGTTCAAGCGATTCTCCTGCCTCAGCCTTGCAAGTAGCTAGGATTATAGGCGTCCGCCACCACGCCCAACTAATTTTTGTACTTTTAGTAGAGACAGGGTTTTACCGTGTTGGTCAGACTGGTCTTGAACTCCTGACCTTGTTATCTGCCCACCTCGGCCTCCCAAAATGCTAGGATTACAGGCATGAGCCACCACGCCCAGCCCGAAGCTCTGCTCTTAACTAGGATCCCCCATTTCTTCAGGAATATTGGGCCCTGACTGTGCTAGAATGGAAAAAGTGAGGCTCAGAATCTGCCCTTTGATCTCTAACCTTCTGTACCCTGGGAATCTTCTACAGGAGAGGAGGCCACACTTGCCCATGCCCCTCTCATCCACTCTCAATCCCCTGGCAGGTGCCACACACACGGCCTGTGTCCTTGTCCACTGGTTCTTGCGTGACAATCAAAGGAACACCGATCCTCCCTTTCATGTGAGTACTCCATGGTCCATGGCAGAGGGATGGAGGAGAAGGGAAAACATTTGCTCGGGAGGTCACCTCATGTGTGAGTGATGTGGAAATGTCTAGTTGGCAGGATGGAGGCACCATGTAAATGCAGGTCCTGGAGAACCTCCTGCACCAGGCATGGGAACTGCAGTTCCTGCACGATGGGCCACTCTTGGACTCTAGGAAAGAAGAAAAGTCAGCGGTTGGAGATGTGGCTCTTTTTTTTTTTTTTTTAATCAAGGGGCGTAGGATTTTCAGGGAATGAACAAGTCACAGACTCGAGTCAGTGATTATGGCTCAGTTTCCATGCAGGGATGAAAGACAGGGCATCTCACCCCACAGGACAGGAAGGGCTGAAACAGCCTCATAGGGATGAGGCCACAGTGTGTCAGCACCAAGACTTTACTCCACCTAAGGAAAGAGGGAAGGGATTTGTGTGTGTGTCCTTTGTGTGCCCACAAAAGGAGGGACCTGCCGAACACACTGTGTGCTCTGCCCTCAGCAATGACCCACAGCTGCAGGTGGATTTCCACACTGAGACATGTGAGAAGTCAGACATTGCCTTCCACTTCCGAGTGTACTTTGGCCATGTTGTGGTCATGAACAGCCGTGAGTGTGGGTCCTGGAAGTCTGAGATGAGATGCAGCAATGTGCCCTTTGAGGATGGCAAACAGTTTGAGCTGTGCATCTCCGTGTTGGACAATGAATACCAGGTGAGCACCCCAGGAGCTCCCAGCACCCAGCCTCTGTGGGATCCCAGGGCAGGAGGCAGCCCTCCCTCAGCTTGCCCCACAAGACCCTTGGGGCGCATCTTCCATAACAACTCTTGCCCCAGGCTTTTCATCACACAGCACCCTCTGCTTGCACTGCCACCCTCATCTCTTTTCCCTCAATGGCCACAGTCAAGGTCAGCTCATCTGCCATTTCTCCCAAGGTGAAGAATCTCTTCCGTCTTCACCCATAGCTCTCATTTCTATGTGTGCTGTTATTTACATTTTCATGTGGCTAAGTGGATAAAATGTCATATGACTGAAACTGTTTTAGTCAGTCAAAAATTAGGTCTTCCTCTCACTCCTGAACCCCAATCTTCAGAGCAATATTACTACCTCTCTATTCTCCTTCTATACACAGTGCATGTTTATGGAAGCATGTGTATCTATATATGTGTGTGTCTATGAATACATGCTTTCATTTATTTTTAAACAAATGCTGGCATCAGTTTCTCTACACATTACTCTTTAGAAACTAGAATCGATTTGTGCTCAAAGAGTAGATCTTGAAGAAGTCATCTATCCATGGTGCTGCCTCATTTTTGAAAGACTGCATGATATCCCCCTAGAAGGATTTCCAAAACTTGCTCAACTTGACCCTTTACATGACCGTTGAAGTTGTTTCCAATATTATGTGCCCACAAATGCTGCCGCATTAAGCTTTCTAATCAACCTTCTTGCCATTATGCACCTCCCAATACTTATATTGGAAGATAATTACAGAGAAATGGAATAGTTGGTTCAAAATTGTGTGCATTTTAAATTGGAGAATGAAACTTAAAAGATGACTTCCTGTAGAGCCTCAGTAGTAAAGAACGTGAACAAACTTTCTGACTTTTAAAACCCTAAAATCCTTTGGGTGGGCCAAAAGATGTACATTTTATTCAGATTTAAGTCAGAGATGTTTTCCTATGTTTATAAGCTGTTAAAGGTAACATCCTATGTATTGCAACATTCGTCCAGTTCCACCTCTCTGAGAACACTTGAGTTTCATTCTCTGCCACCACCAGCCCACAGATGGGCAACTCCTAAGAGGAACTGGGTCATCAGCAATGAAGGGCAGTCATAGATTGTGCAGGTGAACAGCATGCATTCAGTGAACATTGTCGAGCACGAACCCCATGCACAGCCCAGTGCAAGATGCAGGGATTCAAGTTCATGGGACACTGTCCCTGGCCATGGAGATCATCAGGGTTAGAGGGAGGCTGAGCAAACATGGACTGTGTGACTCAGAGTGGTAGAACCTGCCGGAGAAATGAGAGGAAGCACTGAAAATAAAGGAGAGAACTGTCTGAAATAGACACAAAAGGAGTCTGTAAAAAGAAGCCTGTCTACTGGCTTCTCGTTTCCAATTACGCATTTTCTGTTTGGATGCTGTAGGTTCCAGGGCAGTCTGGAGAGGAGGCTGAAAGCTTGTTTTGTAAAATACTGTCGTTCTGATGCATTTTTACTCTTGTAGGTAAGTGTCAATGGCCAGCACTGTTACAGCTTTCCTCATCGCTTCCCGCCATGCTATGTGAAGATGGTGCAAGTGTGTAGAGATATCTCCCTGACTTCGATGTGTGTCTGCAATTGAAGGCGATAGCCAGACTCCTCGTTGTGCCAGAAATCCCTGTTTCTACATGATCATGGGATTCCCAGAGCCAGCTAACAGCATGATCCCTCCTCACTTCAACCCTTACACTTGCTCATTAAAACTTCACCACACTTCACAAAATTTGGTTCTTGCTTTCAAGGGGAAAAAGAGGTAGTGGTCATCATGAAGAGGGCCTGGGGGATTTTATGGGTGGTGGGAAGAAATAAAATAAAATAAATCTTCCTGGGGCACAAATAGTGAGAAACAAGGCCACTGAAAGGTCTGAGAACACATTAGGAGTAACACTCTTCAATAGCATGGAGTTTATGTCAGACACTCTGAACCAAAATCCCTATCCAATTTCAGAAGAGTCGCTGCACCGAAATGTCCTGTAGTTGTTTCCAGCCACACAGGGATAAGCAATGGGATTGGGGGCTTGACCCATAACAGGGTGAGTGGGACTGTGTCTGATTGATCAGGGCTGAGTATGAACCTCACTGTCTACACTGAAAACAGAGGGGAGGGAACACTTCAGGGATCCCATTTTCCCACCTGCACCCGAAATCTCACCTGTCCCTCTACTTAACCAGGAAGAAAGCCCAGAAGTAAATCACCTGAGAAGAAACTCATATGCTGTCCCCACTCAGTTCGGGAACAAAAGATACACAATATTATTTCTGGAAATGTAGAGCACAGATGTAGAAATCTGATTTGTTCATTTACAGAGTGCTCATGGATGATCATGCCCTTTCCCATCCTCGCTGCAGACTGAGAAAGGGAAGTCATTTCACAGAGAAGGACGTGTAGGCTGCAACAGTGGACATGACAGTCGGTACTTTGTAGAGTGTAAGTCTTGGTCAGAGATGGAAGCAAGAAAGCCTTTCATCAGGGCACACAACGATGGCCCTCACTGATAGTCTTTCCTTTAGCCCTGATTCATCTCCACCCACAGACACAAAGTTAGGAAACCTCCATTGCCACCCTCTAAAGTGCCCCCACTGCCTCCCCTCCCCTGGCAGGAGCCCCATCATTGATCTTAGAAGACCCCTACTGATGTCCTAGTCCTCTGCTAAACTCTTTTTCTTCCTGGAGTGTTTGCTTTGGGAAGAATTCTGGACTACCTCCCTCCATCTGAGATGCTCTAATTACTTTAATCTTCAGAGGGTCTTGATCCCTGCCTTCCCTGTAAGTCTCTGTGTCCATTCTGGACATTTATTTCCATTCACCATTCAGAAAGGAAGGCATCTATCTGCTTCACATTGCATGGAGTCCATGAACTTTCTGGGGACTCTCCTAGAATAAAGAAATGAGCTGTATGAGGAGACTGGGACAATTCCATGTGGAAGGCAATGTTTGCAATAGCCTCAAGCTGGAAGCCACTCAATGTCCATCAAGAGTAAAATTTCTGAGTATTCGGTTTTCATAAAACTTCTCTACTCTTCTTTTATAGCTAGTCTATGCTTATGGATGCATGTAAATACACACACATATTCTTTCATTTCTTTTTAAACAAATGCTGATGTAGATTCCTTTACACATTACACTTTAGAAAAACACAGGTTTTTGTACTCAAAGTATATATCTTGGAGAAATCATCTATCCATGGTGCTGCCTCATTTTTTAAGGATTGCATAATATTCCCATTGAAAAATTACCAAAATTTGTTGAATTTGATTCTTTACAAGAGCATTGAAGATGTTTCCAGTGTTGTTGTTGTTGTTGTTGTTTTAATTATTATACTTTAAGTTCTGGGGTACATGTGCAGAACGTGCAGGTTTGTTCCATAGGTATACACGTGCCATGGTGGTTTGCTGCACCCATCAACCCATCATCTACATTAGGTATTTCTCCTAATGCTATCCCTCCCCTAGCCCCCACCTCCTGACAGGACCCAGTGTGTGGTGTCCCCCTCCCTGTGTCCATGTGTTCTCATTGTTCAACTACCATTTAAGAGTGAGAACTTGCGGTGTTTGGTTTTCTGTTCTTGTGATAGTTTGCTGAGAATGATGGTTTCCAGCTTCATCAATGTCCCTGCAAAGGATCTGAATTCATCCTTTTTTATGGCTGCACAGTATTCTATGGTGAATATGTGCCACATTTTTTCATCCAGTCTATCATTGATGAGCATTTGAGTTAGTTCCAAGTCTTTGCTATTGTGAACAGTGCTGCAGTAAACATACATGTGCATGTGTCTTTATAGTAGAATGATTTATAATCCTTTGAGTATATACAGTAATGGGATTGCTGGGCAAATAGTATTTCTAGTTCTAGATCCTCGATGAATTGCCACACTGTGTTCCACAATGGCTGAACAAATTTACACTCCCACCAACAGTGTAAAAGCATGCCTATTTCTCCACAACTTCTCCTGCATCTGTTGTTTCCTGACTTTTTAATGACCGCCATTCTAACTGGCATGAGATGGTATCTCAGTGTGGTTTTGATTTGCATTTCTCTAATGACCAGCAATGATGTGCTGTTTTTCATACGTTTGTTGGCTGCGTGAATGTCTTCTTTTGAGACATATCTGTTCATATCCTTCGCCCACTTTTTGATGAGGTTGTTTGTTTTTTTCCTGTAAATCTGTTTAAGTTCTTTGTAGATTCTGGATATTAGCCCTTTGTCAGATGGATAGATTGCAAAAATTTTCTCCCATTCTGTAGGTTGCCTATTCACTCTTATGATAGTTTCTTTTGCTGTGCAGAAGCTCTTTAGTTTAATCAGATCCCATTTTTCTATTTTGGCTTTCATTGTCATTGCTTTTGGTGTTTTAATCACGAAGTCTTTGCCTATGCCTATATCCTGAATGGTATTATGGTATTGCCTAGGTTTTCTTCTAGGGTTTTACGGTTTTAGGTCTTATGCTTTTTTTTTTTTTCCCC